GGAGTTGGACGGAAAATGCCATCAATCTTAGGAGTTTGCTGGTGGTAGCGTGGGGGCTGGATCCATGACACCAGGGTCTGCAGGGGCCCCGAGCTTTGCTTCGCGGTGGCATTCCCTTCCATCCTGTAAAGCTGCTCCACTGCAGGGAAGGGCTTTGCTTTCCTTCCCAGCAGAGCCTGCGTTCTGGCTGCTGGAGTTTAAAACCACTCCTGGCTGTTAATCTGTGAAAGTCCCTGTTAGGAATAAAATAAAATATATATAAGGAAAAGTGCCACTAAAAAGGTTTATGAGGCAGCAGTTTAAGCTACTGGCTTCTCCAAACTGGGGTAGCATCTGGTTCTCATTTACAACTTGCCTGAGCCAGTAGCGAAACAATGTCCCATCCGTCTGGCCGGGAGCTGGAGAGGGAGCGCGGCTCGGCGTGCCGCGTGGGCAGCGGCGAGAGAGGGGGATTTTCTGCCTGGATGCGTGGTCCGAGCGGGAGCCCGGTGGGGATGGCTCTCGTTGCCTTGCCGTCGGATGATGTGCTTTAATTGCCAGGCAGGGTGGCAAAGGGCTGGGGATGCCGCTCTGGGGTTTGGCAGAGGGAAGGGAGACGTCACTCCAGGTTTTGCTAAATCTTCTACTTTAGCTTAGGATTAATCATTTAGTGTCAGATACTTACAGGTACTCAGGTACCCAGTTGCATTAGATCAAAGCAAATTAGAGCTAAACAGAATGTAAATATTTCTGACGGTCAGAGCCTTTGTCTCTTCGCGTTGCGGTTCCGGTATATGAAGTGAAGAAAAACGGCATCTCCCAGTGTGTTACGAGGAGATAATGTTTAGGATGTGGAGATCTTACGGGAGGAATGTCATACAGCTACCAGGCACTGAGAGGCCTTTTTTTTTCTGTGCTTCATCTCAGAGTTTCATTTAGACATCTCGTTTGTGTTCGTGGCTCACGGGGAGCTGGAGATGTGGTCGTCTGTGGGGTGACGTTTGCAGGGAGAGTTTCCTTTTATTTGGTATACAGCAACTTCCACAGCGAAGTCTTGAGCTACTGCAGTATTAAAACCTGCTGTTAATTTACAGTGGCGTTACTCTGGCCACAAGTGACACTTCTCTGTACTTAATGTTTTAATTGCTGTGCTTAGTTTTCAGAATATATAGCTTTTGAGGCAGCAGCGGTTTGCTCTTTTCTTTGCTCCTTTATTGCAATCTCTCAGTTGTTTGAGATGTTTTCACATGGTTTTCGATGGAAAATTTAATAAGCTGCTTCCGTTTCATGGCATTTTGTACACTCGGAAATCAGGCTGTTTTCAAGGGCTGAGGAACTATCCTGACCCTTTTTTTCTCACCTCTAGGTGAGAACTGAGCCTTAACTTCTTTGCAGAATGACCACTGAGGATGAAGTCCCGTTGTTTGTTTAATGCCAGCTTTTCACTGGCCCTTGGGTCGGTTTGGGAAGCCTCTGGGGCTGGGGACGGGGTCCGTTTCAGTCCGGGGTGGCTG